TTCTATTTTACAGAAAAATGATGCAGATCCACAGAGAACATGATGTAATTCCGACGCTGTAACACCAGGCTTAGAGGAGCTTCCTGAAGCCGTCTGAGAATCACTAATGCCTGTCTGTCATTTAAAGCAAAGTGCCCTTTCCTCTCCTAATGTCAGGCTGCTGATGCATCACATCAGAGACTGCCTCCCAGAGCTGAAGACACGGATCAACGTCCTGGCAGCCCAGTACCAGTCTCTGCTCAGCAGCTACGGCGAGCCGGTGGAAGACCAGAGCGCCACCTTGCTGCAGCTCATCACCAAGTTCGCCACAGAGTACTGCAACACCATAGAGGGGACAGCCAAATACATTGAGACAGCAGAGCTGTAAGTAGCAGCTCTGCCACAAGGTGGTGCTGTTGAGCTAGTGTAATGAAACTGATCAACTGCCTTGCTTTCATCCTTTTGATGTCGGTCAGAGTTAATCTCCTTCTGTTGATTCGTTTCAGGTGCGGTGGAGCCAGAATCTGCTACATTTTCCACGAGACGTTCGGCCGGACGCTGGAGTCTGTGGATCCCCTCGGAGGTCTCAGCACCATCGACATCCTAACGGCCATCAGGAACGCAACAGTGAGTTCAGTGAGAGCTTTCCTGCAGTTTAATCCACAAAACAACCCGATTTGACCTTCCGGTGCCTCCCTCTGCCAGGGGCCCCGTCCCTCCTTGTTCGTGCCTGAGGTGTCCTTCGAGCTGCTGGTGAAGAAACAGGTCAAACGCTTGGAGGAGCCCAGCCTGCGCTGCGTGGAGCTCGTCCACGAGGAGATGCAGAGAATCATCCAGCACTGCAGCAACTACAGCACACAGGTAGGAGACGGACATCAGGTGAGCTCATCTTCCCCTGGCACATGTTTAATCGTATTGATTGTGACGAGGCAGGAGCTGCAGAGGTTCCCAAAGCTGCACGAGGCCATTGTTGAAGTGGTCACCTCCCTCCTGAGGAAGAGGCTGCCCATCACCAATGAGATGGTAACAGACCTTTGCTTGCATTCATTTTAAAGGCTGCAAAGCAAAGAGTGAAGATTTTTGTTTTTTGTTGCAGGTTCACAACTTGGTTGCGATTGAGCTCGCTTACATCAACACTAAGCATCCAGACTTTGCTGACGCCTGCGGAGTCTTGAACAACAATATAGAGGTATGAACTCATTGCAGAAAATCAAGTTTGCTTTATTTAATATGACAAACCAACTAAAGATGCTTCCTTTATTTAAAAAAATAAAATAAAAACGGTGGTTTGGATGTAGCAGCACAAAATATATAAAGGTTTCAGCTGAATACTTTAGCAAAACCTTTTTTTTTTTGTTTTTTTTTTATCTGGAGTACAATTTGTTCATCAGGAAAATCAAAATTATACTCATGTCTGTTTTCATTTTCAAGGAGCAGAGAAGAAACCGGATGAGAGAGCTGCCTGCTGCAGTGCCGAGGGATAAGGTAAAAGCTTTTTCAAATATTAGAAAGGCAGCAGATTTGTTCTAATGTTGGGTTGCAGTCTTTAGAGTCCACTCAGACCGCAGCATGAGGACCTGCAGAGCAAATGCTCTGGATAGTTTCCGCCCAGGAATTTAATCCTAAATCTCCAGGCTCATTCTCTGTCTTCTCAGTACCTTTTTTTTTTTTTTTTCTTCTTCCTCCATATTTATGCTCTCATATTCCTGCTAGTCTGTTGGCAAAGGCCCGGCGGGCCCAGCTGCGGTTTCTGGCGAGCCCTCTGCGTCTGGATCAGAGGTGGGCACAAACTGCAGCCTGCTGGCTCTGTGCCTGGCCGGCTGCGGTCTGATGGTGGTGCACGGGTGGATGGATGGATGTGCATGAGCTGCTGGCATGCACTGTGATCTTTGTCTGCTGATGTTTTGCTGTCAGCCTGATCGAACTTGTTCTAACAGCTGTGTGTGTTTTTCCCCCCGACTGGTGCTTGTCCCACAGGAAAACCCTTCATCTCCTTCTCTTCCTCCTTCCTTCCCAACATGCTGCTTTTTTATTATTTCTTCTTCCATCTTAGGAAGCTCTGAGATATAAACCTTCTGTGTAAACTGTTCATTCCAGGGATGGAATTGGTAAAAAACCAACTGTTTTTGGTGGTGGCAGAATCATGCTGAGGGTCAGTTTTACTACTGATGTTGTCCCAGGCCCAGATCATTATGCTACTACCTCCATGTTTCATTGTGAATGTAATACTTTTTGTCTGATATGCTTTAAGTTTTAGGTCAAATCTGATGCCGTCTAAGAAGTTCCACTTCTTTCCTTTCAAGTCTCGGAGTTCATATGACGGCTTTTGGTCAAAAATCTTTTTTAATTGTTCAGCATTGACTAAAATGGGTCTTTTAAAAAGTCCAAACGTGGCTTTGTTATCTGCGACTTCTGCTCGTTATTGGAATAAGTTTATAGTTTTATTTTAGGTCTCTGATTCTGCAGCGTTTCATTCAGATTAGTTTCTAATCTCTTTGGCTATAATCTTAAACCCAAAGACATAAGTGAAACAGAAAAAAATAGATGTGGTTACCGGTAGTCAGTAAAATGGTTCAGCCAGGTAGCATTTTTTAATATTTGTTTATTACCGTACTGACTCGAATATAGGACCACCGCCTCTTTCCAGGACCCATTTTTAGAAACAAACAAAAAACTGTTAATACAAATTTATTTTGTTTAAAGAAACAATTTTATATTGAAGTGCTCAGAATTTCATTGAAAGATTTATTTATACAATTTAAATCTTGCAACACTTCACCTCAAATGCAATTTGAACTTTGCTCATGGAACGTCTCAGAAACCTGCATGAGGCTTTTCCTCACAGTGCACTGCTGTCGCTCCTACTTCCACCCTGCAGCGCTGCAATTTTTTGTCAAGCTTCTCTTTTGTTGTTAGTATTTTTCCGTTTTTTTTTTTAAGTGCCATCTTCTTTAATTGCACTCTGCAATGATGTATTTATATTTGATGCCTCCGCTGCTTTGACCACTATTTTAAAATTGGCGCCTTAACTCCGCCTCAAATGTCTGCAAACCTGTCAAAGCACTGGCGCCCTCTGCTGTTGCGTTTGTGTAGCGACCCCAGACAACTGTCAGCCTGTCTAATTTGGGTATACCCCGATTTTATCACTGTATTCATCAAAATAATAAAGTAATCTGTGTTTTTTTTGTTTAAAGCAAAATGTCAACTATCAAGCAGCAAATACTTTTTTTTAAGGAAGTGTGATCCAGAGACTTGTTGATCTTACTGATCAGTGTGCGTTACCTTCTGTATGTTTGTGGTCTGACACAATTAACTTTTGAACTTGACACATAAAAAGGAAAATAAATGTTTTGGTAGGTACACTTATTTTATGTTTGCCCCAGCGTTTTTGTCAGCTCTGCTTAATCTTTATTCTTCATCTCTGGCAAATATGGAGTAAATTCCCACATTTTCCTGCCACTACTCTGCCTTATGTTAAATGCTGCACAAAATAGCATAGCAACAGTACTTTAATAGGTTTCAGTGACAGGTGTCTGCTTTCTGTGTTTGTGTGTCAGGCTCCAGCTGGAGGGCCTCAGGCGGAGCAGGATGGCACCGGGAACTGGAGGGGAATGCTGAAAAAGGGTGAGGAAGCGGCAGGTTCTGGTCCAGGAAGTCCCCTTAAAGGAGTCGTCAACTTGCTCGATGTGGTAAGCAAACCAGTCTGCCAGCATCAACCATTACTGATTCAGACGGGGTTGATGGAATTACTATAGCTCTCCTGTTTGGCTTTGGTTCCCCTCAGCCTGTCCCGGTTGCCAGGAAGCTGTCGTCACGGGAGCAGAGGGACTGCGAGGTCATCGAACGCCTCATCAAGTCGTACTTCCTCATCGTCCGGAAGAACATCCAGGACAGGTGAGAGCGCTGGTTCCATTCATCAGACATTCGCTTCGGGTCATAAAACCTGTAGGTTTGCTCCTCAGATTTTAATGACCTACTTGAAAATGTTAATTCTTAAAATGGAGTGAAAACCTGAAATAGATCTGCACCTGAAAGTTTTGCAGCACCAGCAGCATAGTTTAAAATGTCTCATCTTTAATCTAATAGCAGGTATTCAGAGTAGAAAGAATATCCGTAATATTTTTCCGTAAAAGTAAAAAAAAAAAACACAATCTACTGGACTTGGTTTCTGAGGTTTGAAGACATTTCGCTTCCCCTCCAGGAAGCTTTCTCCAGTGGATTGTTTTTTAAATTTATAAGGAATGACCTGGATGATAGAATCTTCACCAGCATATCTTAGGTTTCTTTGTCGTCTAAAAACAAATGCAGCCATGAAAGGAGGATGGATGCTCTAATATTGACTTTAAAGATTTGATACTTAAAGTCAAGCCAACCTTAGATTCATTGGAATAAATGTATTAAAACTGCTGTATAAGACTTAAGCATCTTTGTCTTTTCCAGTGTGCCGAAGGCAGTGATGCACTTCCTGGTGAATCATGTGAAGGACAGCCTGCAGAGCGAACTTGTTGGACAGCTTTACAAATCAGGCCTCCTCAATGACTTGCTGACAGAGTCTGAGGACATGGCCCAGCGACGCAAGGAGGCAGCAGACATGCTGCAGGTAACACGCTCCCTCAATGCAGCAAGCTAGTTTCCCTCTTAAGATTTCTAAGTTGTAATTCTTTTTTTCTTCCTCCAACAGGCTTTACAGAGGGCCAGTCAGGTGATCGCTGAGATTAGAGAAACACATCTTTGGTAAAAACTAATCCTAATGTTAGTGTCTGAGGATAGAGCCTCCTACTCATGACTGAACTTGAACATTTGGCTCAAAAAACATTTAAAAAGTTCTGATCCTAGATCAAATGTACAGTAGGTATTATGGTGTCCAATCACAATATAAAGCTTGCACTGAATCAGGACATGTAAAACAGGCTACCCAGAATGCCGTTGGGCATCTGCGTGGTGTTTCCATTTCCAGCCTTTGTCCCTTTAGAAGTAGCACTGGTCAGAAAACGCTGTTTAATTTTTGCACTATTGTCAAACTGTATTGTATAGCAGGTCACTGTTGCCATCAGGTTTATTTATTGTTATTTAAGTTTACATTGGCTGCCTAGCTGTGAAATCTGTATGAAGCAACAAATAAAGAGGTGTTTTATTGCCATTTGTTGGATCTGAATGGAGAAAAAAAAAACACCCACAGAGGGCATAGGAGTGTCTTTATTTCTGTGTACAAGTTATCTGCATCGACGAACACCGCTGCTCCTGTTCCGGCATCTGACAGGCAGGTTTCACCCGTCTATCTCACCCTGCCTTTGGCCTTGCCTCTTCCTTTGGCGCTGCAGAGTTAGACACAATGCACACAGTAATAAATAAAAGCTAAACTGCACAGTGTATGGGGGGAAATTACAAACAAAAAGCAGGCCAAGTTCACACAGCAGGTCTTGATGCTCAACTCTATTTTTGGCTTGTGCTACCAATTAAACACGACCTCCAAAACATCTGTGTAAATGGTTTCTAACGTACGTCTGCAGGACTATTAGGTTTTGGCCTGCTTAGTGAGGGTCAGAGGAAACAAAGTGGGATGAAAGGTGACATGAGTGTCAAGCTGCAGACAATAAATCAGATTTATTATGGAAGCAGCATTAGTCCACTTTTGTTTAGGGGGGAAAAAAAATGAGCTGCGTGAACAAAGGCCTTAAAGGGAAGGATTTAACTTAAGACTTGGATGAAAATTAAAAAGGAGATGAAATGGTCAAATCGCAACAGGCTGTTGTCCATTTAGTTCATTTCAGACCTAATTTATTGTAACTGATAAGTAATCGGCACAGAATGCCTTTAAATGAACCCACCCCTAAGATAATACAAATTCCCATTTAAAAAGCAGAAGATAATTTTAAGCATTATGAAAAAAACAAAGGGCTGTTCTTTTCCTATTTTACCATCTACATGCAGACTGACTTCATTTTTTCAGAGCAAAGAGAGATCAGGAAAACGGCTACTACTTACCTCTGGGTGGCCTGGACCCGATTCTGCAGCAGGTTGATCTGCACCAGAGGAGAGAGACTTGTTTAAGAGACACCAAAGAAGAAAGGATGCAGCTGTTCACTAAGATGTCTAAATGATTCCCAACTGGTCAGTAGTAAAATGTTTATCACAAGGTGTTGAGATGCTACGATATCCGAGGAATGAGAGGCTGTTCTGACCATTAAATGTTGCTTAATGGTAGAGAAATATTGTTTTTTTTTATAAGGTGCATATATCAAAACCCTTCAGTACATAATCAATTTAGACAGCATAAGCCTCCTTAAGGTAAAATGGTTTTATCGTACACCTTTTACCATAAATAAGCAAGTCCAAACTCAGGGTTTCTGCGGGTCATTAAATTATTTTTCAAATTAAGGCAGAGAAAAGGCTAGAGAATGGGGGAAAATGCAAATCTGAACCAAAGTGGTGGAAAATATATAAATATATATACAGTGTTGTATAAAGTACTGAAAGTACCTCTCCAAAATATGACTTTGGTAAAAGTCTTAAAGTATCTGAAATGGCTTGTACTTAAGTATAAGAATTACTGTAAAAATAGATGTACTCAAGTAATGCAGTGAAAAGTATAAGTAAAAAGTAAGTGCAGTTTGAATTACATTTTGGTAAACTTAGAAGGTTAAATTCACTTAAAATAATATAAACAACCAAGTGTAGGATAAATAAAGACTGGCTTTGCAAAACAGGTGTATCCTATTGGTGTTGAACAAGCCCAGGCAAGACCCGACTTTGTAGTCAGTAGGTGGGGTCAAAACACTTGCGTTTCTCTCGCTCTCGTGATTTTTTTTGGTTTTTGTTTTTACTTAGTACCTAAAACAAACATTGAAAATGTATCGGAGCAAAAGTATGCAATTAAGTTCGTAAATGTAGTGAGGTAAAAGTGAAAGTTCTCAAAAAAATGTATACTCTTGGAAAGTATAAAGTACTTCAAAATATACTTAAGTACAGTAGTGAAGTATTTTTACTTTGTTACTATACAACACTATATATATATATATATATATATATATATATATAAATAAAGTCATGGGTATTTGTTGATGGCATTAAGATTATTTCTAAGAGCATCAAAAAGCATTAAATAAGAGTTACTCATTCATGTATAAACCCTGAAACTGGAAAAGCTATTTCCTGTTTGTGTTTCAACCAATTAAACACGCCACAGATTGAATAGGATTGACTTACACTTACAAAAGAGTCAAAATTTAGACTGAAACTTAACTGAAATTTTTAATTTGGGAAAAGCTGGAAATCAAAAAATATAATTTACATGGGCAAAAAGTTTGATCTTGCTCAAACTGTTTATAGCCAAGTAAATTTAAGAGCTTGATATTTGCATTAAAAGGATAACTAAAGATTAAGTTGTTTACTTATATATTATTATACCACCACTATTATAAGCATAATTAACGCATAAAACGGTTGGTTTACCAATGCATCTGTTTATCTGATGCTACTTAGGCTAATTACCATTTCACTATTAATTTAAATGAATATGAGAGGTGAGTTTATTTAAAGTGCGATGAGGTTAAATACTCACATCATACTTCTGTCTCTTTAGCTGCTCAGTGTAGTCAAACTTCTCCGCCTCCAGCATCATCAGCCACTGCCACAGCTCACTGGCCTTCTCCCTTTATTTTTAAGAAATAAAGCAGAAGATCAGCGGCTGAAAAACCAAAATCGGCTTCAAACTCACATAACAGATGGATTTTGATGAATGGATTCATCTCCTGCTTCAGACTTACTTCAGCTTGTCCTCGTTGAGGTGGTCAATGTTGAGTGGTTTCTTCCTCTCTGCCAGGATCTTTCTCTTCTTTTCTCTTTCCGTTTGCTTCTTTGCTCCCTTCTTTCCATCTTGCTGCAAAACAAAAAAAAAACAGATGACATTGTTTTCACTGCGGTTGAGCCAGCCCTCCATAGAAATACTGTAGCAATGCTGATCGTAACCTTTCAAAATAAAAGCAATGTTTTACATTTCTTGAGCAAACATGGTTAATGGCACTATTGCATCTCTTTTTTTAAATGCTAAAGACAGCAAATATGTTTTATGTCCCCTTGTGACTACAGAAATATTACTTTTATGTGGTATGTTTATAAGTTAATATTTTTTCCCAAAATTTCTTTAATTATTTAATTGATGGATGGACGATTAGATAAGAAAATATTTTTTTTTTAACAAAGAAAGACTCATTGCTGTAGTATTGACTTATAATTATATTATAAATATTGGAATAAGGAGTAAAATTAGAAAATGAATCAAATTATTTTGAGTTTTTTTAAACTAATTTGTGTTAGTTTATTTCAGATTATACAGTTTAAAATGGCACTCCACAAGACAGCATTGTTATCCTAGTTGTCTTTTCTGTCATAATAAATGATAGAAAGTATCACTGTGATACTGTATTGATAAAAACTTTGCAGTTGGAATGTGTGAAGATGGAGTTTTTTCGAAAAGGGGAAGAAATCATGATTTTATGATGAAAGTGCAAAAGGCAAGTTAGAGGCCTTAAAATGAAGGTTTAAGCTCTCAGTGACAAAAAATAAAACCAGGACTTACTACTATAAAGCAAAATAAAAGAAATTATACATTTATGGAAAGTAATTAGGAGTATAAATTGGGAATTTTGTTTGATTAACTCCCCTGGAACAATGGATATTGTAAAGGTTGTTAAACATATAAAATAGGTATTAGGCTAATATAATATATTCTTGTTACTGTGGCTTTGTTTAGCTTTTTTAGCTATGTTTGCTGTTTATGAACATGAAGGAAAAACTGCATATATAGAGAAAGCTGATTAAAAAAAAACTTTTTAAACTGACCCTTTGCTGACCACCGTATTGTTGGGTCATGTTGGTCAAAGCCTTTTTCTTCTTGGTGTCGTCCTCATGCTTCTTACGAGCCTCCTCCTGTTCCTTCCTCTCTTTTTCCTCCTGTAAAGCAGAAATACAATGAATACATAATAAAATAATTGATTATTAACTATTTTTCTTCTACCTTTTAGAAACAACAGGAGCAAAAAGGTTTTTTTTTTTGTTAAGAAAGCTTAAAGCATGTATTTTTTTAGCAGCTCTCTGTGTTAAACAGCTCCAGGTGGAAATGAGAAACACCTGCGTTCTAAGGTGTGCAGGTGACCAATGAGAGGACAAGCATGGACTTAAAGAGACAGTAGCCGAAACAAAATGTAAGAGCCAGAAAACATAGACCAATGATATTAAACCTCTTACCAAGTTATTTCTTTGTAAAGTCAGACTTTTTTAACATTCATAACTCTTTCGTTGAAAATCCAAACCTCTAAATATTTCTTAAAAAGTAAACACATAGTAGGGCGTATTGCTAAAATCAAAGGCAAATAATACTTTCCTTTAAATAAAGATGTCTAGCTTTGAATACAATTTCTACAAAGGTTTGACTCACAGGTGCTGAAAATTATCACTTTTCAGACCTTTTTTAGAACCAAGTTTTCCTTCTACTTTCCAATTTTTTTTTCTTTTTACAAAACTTCAATGAAAGTGTATTTGGTTCAGCTATGCATTTTGCTTTAAAGCTGTCAAACATAGAACTGTGTTGCTTGGCAGGTAAGTATGCTGATGTAATAGGAAGGCATAGATTCCTACTCCTAATATGAAAATGATGAGTTTTAAGCTTTAATTTGTTCTAAACTTCACATAGAAGAAGAGAACTGTTCTAAGAGCCACCATATTATTCAGACTAAAAAAACAATGAAACTGCTCTGCACATCAAACTGGTTTAAAACACTTGTTTTTCTCTAAATTTGAAAGAGGCTTACTTTTTTTTGTACCAGGGAGTTTAATTAGTTTCTTTGAATAAATTTGAATTTTCATCCCAGTTTACAAATTCACTTTGTTAAGCCGCAGTTTCAAAGGTACTCACAACGAGACGAGCCTGCCTCTCCTTCTCCTGCTCAGTGCGGATCCTCAGCTGTTCAGCCCTCTCAGCACGACGCTTCTCCTAATCATCCACACAGGGAAAGAGAGAGAGGGAGAGAGACTGCATAATTGTTTGCAGGGTGGTACATCACCCTGGCAGTAGTGTGCACTTTCAAGGAAGACCTACAATCCTGTTAACAAGAGCGATGAGCTCCTCCTCATCCTTCTTCCTCTGAATGAAGTGGGCTTCGATCAGAGATTGCAGCTCTGACAGATCTTTCTCCTGACGCTTCCTGTGGATGTCCTACAAGAAGGTCACAGACAAACATGTTTGCCTTGCTTCTGTACAGAGGATCCAATTAAAACAATTCCTGTAAGTCTTCTTTAACACTTCTTGTTCAACATTAACCCTTAACGAGAAAGTAATGACCAAAGAGATTTAAAAGAAATCTTGGATCACTTACATCAAAGTCCACCTTATCTCCCTCTGGTATCTTTGGAACAGCTATGGGTGGTGCAAAAGCCCTGCAAAATAAGAAATTACATTATAGTAACAATCATTTCTGGTATAATAAGGATAGGAAACAATAGAAAAAAACTTACTTTGGTTTGGGCCTTGATTCATCTGTTATAATAAGGAGAAAATGTAATTTTGGATTGACAGTTTTATTTTTAATTGCCATGTTGTGCTGATAGTAGAAGGTGATTTCATATTAAATATATCATATCTGATCTAAATAATCAACTAAAATGAACCATAGTATTGTATGACTTCAAAATTGGCTAATAGAAATCATAGTATTGTGTGACCTCAAAAATTTGCTAAAAAGAGTCATAGTATTGTTGTGCCATATGCCATGATGACCAGAGGAGAACACGCAACTTTGGTGAATAACAGCTGGGGGACTTTTGCGGACCCCCCCTTTTTCAGCCAAGGCCTCCACAGGCCAATCACATGGTAAGCCACAGAGGTGTGACCAACCACCCCCCTCTGTGGGAGAACGTACAAAACAACAGAGAAAAGGTTTTCCACCACAGTGGAGATGCGGGCCCAATGGGACGTCCAGAATCATGAAGGATGGGTCATTGTGGTAACCTTTCAGAACCAAACTGCTGCTGCAAAACAGACTTTTTGCAACACATTTCTCTTAAGTTTCAGGACTTATAGAACCAGAGTGGATGAGAAGGCCTGCCTTGATGAATGACAAAGAGGACCCCTGCTATGTGCCACTGAGACAAAGAACCCCTGGTTGCTGCCCTGACTGCTGGGCTACAGCTGGATGAAACTCAAGCTTTCCAAATGGACATGGAAAAAAATGTTTGTTCTGTCCATAATTAGGGACAGAACAAACAAAATGTCTTTTGATGATGTTAATTATATCACATGTTTACTGATGAATAAACACTGATATACTGTAACATTAGTGTTCATGTGTTCCTCATATGCTCATTACATTTCGAATACCAAGTACGACCAAGAATCATTTAGTGGAATCCTGATGTCGATTCACTAATAGCTATTAGAAAGACAGTAAAGAATCATTTGACTAAAGGTTATTGGTTCTTGATTAAGAGAATAATTTAACAAAACATTATTTGGCCAAATAATGTTTTATTTGCGTCATGGATTTATATTGTGAATTGGTCTAAAAACATTCCAATTTCTCTAAATTAGTGAAAAGTTAATTTGATCATATCCCAAATTCTTCCAGTTACACTTTGTTTCTCAAACTCAAAATCCATCTTAAACTGTAATATGCTTTTCACCATGTTCCCCTTCCTCTTTGTACATAGTAGTTTGGTTTAGTTTAGTTGAGTTTCACTAGTCTTAGTTGAGAGTATTAAACTGAAATATGTTTGAGTTGGAGCTGAATGATTTTTGTTAATAAACTCATATTTTGAACAGAAGTTGTGGTGAATTTATCCCATGTATGTGCAGAATTAACTGTTTGACCATGATTAGCGCTCAAATCACTCATTTATTGTTCTAACACACAGCTAGTAGGGTGTGTGTTCATAAAGAGTATATAACAGCCAAAATAATATCTGCTTAAAAAAGATATTTCCCACCCCTACTGGGGAGGGTGATGAGCTTCTTAAAGCATCAGAAATATAAATTCCCAGCTGGCTGGGGATGGAATTGGACATAAAATCACAACAGTATAATATGATCTCAAAAATGGGCTAAAAGTG